CCACCTCTGATAGGCTGACACCTACCACCTCTGATAGGCTGACATCTCCCACCTCTGATAGGCTGACACCTACCACCTCTGATAGGCTGACATCTACCACCTGTTGGACAGGTTTTGACGTCACACTGGTTTTATTTTAGACTTGGACTCTGACGTGATGAGGGTGTGACGGCGTCCTCAGATCAAATGCACAAAGACACCAGGACTGACAGGAGGACATGAGCAGCTTCTTCTCTCCAGTGTTTCCTCCACACATGAAGGTGAACGTGTCTGTAAACTGACCTGAAGTCAGTTCAGCAGGTGAGAATCCTACCAGAGGAATCTGTACATGTTTGATCACCAGGATCACTTTGATCACTACATGTTGTTTCTCTGTTTCACTGGACAGTAGAAATGGTTCTTAATGCTGATTGGCTGTTTCAAAACATCTATTTGATGCTTGCAGGTATAAATATTCTTCAGAACTTCTATCTGAGATAAATAACAGTGATTTGAAAATGATTTGCATGTTTTACTGGTTGAAACTTAACACCATGTAGATTTTAATCTGAGCTGACATCATCAGTGAGACATGTAGAGAATGTCAGAAGTGGTTTGACGGCTCAGATTAAATCATTTCCTCTTCATCCTACAAGTGTTGTTACAACACGGACTGTTTCACTGAATCCCACAGGCCATGAATCAAACATCAAAGGGTTCAAACTCATTTCAAAATGGACCTGATCAATAGTTAAAACTCATGAAACTAAGTTAGTAATGATTTTTGTGCAGTGTTTCAATTTCTGGATGTAAAATCTAATTTTGGAAGAGCTTCACTGAATTTGTGCCTGAACACATTGAGTCAGAGTTCAGGATTAGTTAAATCAGAGTTCAGGGTTAGTTAAGTCAGAGTTCAGGGTTCGTTAAGTCAGAGTTCGTGGGAAGACCCATCCATATCCCTGACAGACGCTGCTGGGGTCAAAAAGCTCATCTGCACTTTGTCATGAGATGGTTAATTAGCAGCATCTAGCGTTGGGATCCATTTAAACAGCAGAACTCTACAATCAAGTACGGAGCGGCAGCCAAGAGTTCGCCAGCATCCGCCATTTAAAATGTAAGAATCGTAGGATTACCAAACGATATATTTTGTATCTTGACAGAGAGGACAGATGGCGACACCTAAAGAGATCCTCTTGGGAACTTTGGAGGATTTAGGAGCCGAACAGTTAAAAACATTCCAGTGGTACCTGCAGCAGGAGGTCCTAGAAGGCTTCCCAGCAATCCCAAAGAGTCGACTGGAGAATGCAGACCGGACGGACACAGTGGATCAGATGCTCAAGAACTACAGCATAAACACTATTAAAGTGACCCGAATAGTATTAGTGAAGATTGGTGAGAATGATCTAGTGAAGAGTTTATCAACAACCAAATCAGAACCCAAAGGTAAGTCATGGTGTGAACAAAATGATCAAACTTACATCTCACTAAGACTTTAAATGTAAAAAACACACACCCACCTGAAAATTCAGGAAAAGCAACAATACAAAGGCAGACAGTCCTGTTTTTGTTGCCTCTAATGTTTAAAATCAGCACATTGGTGTGACTGTAAGTTGCTGCTTGGACGTCATTAATTCTCTCTGTAATAAAGTAATAAACGTTCTGGTTATTTGGAGAGAACAGAGTTCATGGACACATGAAGCACAACATGTCAGTTGATGTTAGTTGATACTCAGTCATTTTACAATAGTTACCTGTTCAGAGCCTTCAGTTATCAAATGAGATGAATAGATTTCATTAATACAGAAATGTGTACACGTGTTAGAAATGACTCACATTCACTGAAACAACCCCTCATTGATTTTTATCTTTGTTTTATTCATGCAGAGATTCTTACTGAGTGTCAGCGGAAACTCAAATCCAACTTTCAAAAGAAGTTCCAGAATGTGTTTGAGGGAATCGCTGAAGCAGGAAACAAAACCCCTGTGAATGAGATGTACACAGAGCTCTACATCACAGAGGGAGGGACTGCAGAGGTCAATGATGAACATGAGGTCAGACAGATTGAAACAGCATCCAGGAAACCACACAGACCAGAAACAACCATCAGACAAGAAGACCTCTTTAAAGCCTCACCTGGAGGAGAGGAACCAATCAGAACAGTGATGACAAAGGGAGTGGCTGGCATTGGGAAAACAGTCTTAACACAGAAGTTCCCTCTGGACTGGGCTGAAGACAAAGACCACCAGGACATACAGTTCACATTTCCATTCACTTTCAGAGAGCTGAATGTGCTGAAAGAGAAACAGTTCAGCTTGGTGGAACTTGTTCATCACTTCTTCAGTGAAACCAAAGAAGCAGGAATCTGCAGGTTTGAAGAGTTCCTGGTTCTGTTCATCTTTGACGGTTTGGATGAGTGTCGACTTCCTCTGGACTTCCACCACAATGAGGTCCTGACTGATGTTACAGAGTCCACCTCAGTGGATGTGCTGCTGACAAACCTCTTCAGGGGGAAACTGCTTCCCTCTGCTCGCCTCTGGATAACAACACGACCTGCAGCAGCCAATCAGATCCCTCCTGAGTGTGTTGGCATGGTGACAGAGGTCAGAGGGTTCACTGACCCACAGAAGAAGGAGTACTTCAGGAAGAGATTCAGAGATGAGGAGCAGGCCAGTAGGATCATCTCCCACATCAAGACCTCACGAAGCCTCCACATCATGTGCCACATCCCAGTCTTCTGCTGGATCACTGCTGGAGTTCTGGAGGATGTGTTGAAGACCAGAGAGGGAGGAGAGCTGCCCAAGACCCTGACTGAGATGTACATCCACTTCCTGGTGGTTCAGTCCAAACTGAAGAAGGTCAAGTATGATGGAGGAGCTGAGACAGATCCACACTGGAGTCCAGAGAGCAAAAAGATGACTGAGTCTCTGGGAAAACTGGCTTTTGATCAGCTGCAGAAAGGCAACCTGATCTTCTATGAATCCGACCTCACAGAGTGTGGCATCGATATCAGAACAGCCTCAAAGTACTCAGGAGTGTTCACACAGGTCTTTAGAGAGGAGAGAGGACTGTACCATAATACAGTGTTCTGCTTTGTCCATCTGAGTGTTCAGGAGTTTCTGGCTGCTCTTCATGTCCATCTAACCTTCATCAACTCTGGAGTCAATCTGCTGACAGAAGAACAAACAACCTCCTCTTGGTTAAAAGTCTTCAGAAACAAATCAAAACCAAAACCTCTCCACCTGAGTGCTGTGGACAAGGCCTTACAGAGTCCAAATGGACACCTGGAGTTGTTCCTCCGCTTCCTCCTGGGTCTTTCACTGGAGACCAATCAGGAACGCCTACGAGGTCTGCTGACACAGACAGGAAGTAGCTCACAGACCAATCAGGAAACAGTCCAGTACATCAAGAAGAAGTAAGTAATCAGTAAGAATGTGTCTCCAGAGAAAAGCATCAATCTGTTCCACTGTCTGAATGAACTGAATGATGGTTCTCTAGTGGAGGAGATCCAACAGTCCCTGATTTCAGGACGTCTCTCCACAGATGAACTGTCTCCTGCTCAGTGGTCAGCTCTGGTCTTCATCTTACTGACATCAGAAAAAGATCTCGATGTGTTTGATTTGAAGAAATACTCTGCTTCAGAGGAGGCTCTTCTGAGGCTGCTGCCAGTGATCAAAGCCTCCAACAAAGCTCTGTAGGTGGATACACTACAGATACATTGACATTATTAAATATGTTTGATATTTTACTTTGATTTAACATTTTGTTTGTATTAATCCCTGTTCCTCCCCTAGGCTGAGTGACCGTAAACTCTCACAGAGAAGCTGTGAAGCTCTGTCCTCAGTCCTCAGCTCCCAGTCCTCTAGTCTGAAAGAGCTGGACCTGAGTGACAACAACCTGAAGGACAAAGGAGTAAAGCTGCTTTCTGCTGGACTGGAGAGTCCAGACTGTACACTTGAAACTCTCAGGCGAGGATCAGGTGATTTACTACAAAGATGACGAAGTGGTCCAAGTGTCTGATCTACTAAATTCATGGTGGTGTTACCAACATGTTACTGTGGGATAACAATGTCTGCTAGTGTCTCTGCTAATATGCATTTGGAAATAATGGTGTAAAGTGAATGGTGAACTGGCCACTATCCTGCTCGTGATCAAAGTGTTGGATGGCTCGTCCAACCAACATGAACATCCTTTGGCCCACCTGCTTTCAGGGAACCAGGACAGTTTAAGTCGTGCTTTTAGTTTGTTACAGCAATCTACTCCACTGGAATCACTTATTTCACTGTAATAATGATTTTAAAATGTCACAACAGTGACAGGATTTACACTAACTGTCTGTTTACAAAAGAAGATGAAACCAAAATGAAAGCCACTCATGTTCATGATGAAAATAATGATTCATTGTGTATCGATAATATATGATAAACTCTGTGTGTTGTTTTGTGTGTTTGCAGTCTGTCACACTGTGAGATCACAGAGGAAGGCTGTTCTTCTCTGGGCTCAGCTCTGAAGTCAAACCCCTCCCATCTGAGAGAACTGGATTTGAGTAGAAACTAGTGCAGCACCTTCATGTTTCATCAATAACTCTATTTGATTTATCTACGTATAGATCCATAAAGTGATACATTTTCTGGTAATATGTTCCACTTCACATCAGCTGCCTCGTTGTCTGCATGTCATCCTCTACAATCATGAAATGGTCAACTTGTCTGGCTTCATCCTGCTGTTGGATGGATTACTGAACAGGCCTACCGGGCACAGGCCCAGGGGCCCAAAGTGTCAGGGGCCCCCCTGAGCTTCACCTACGAGATGTCACTCAAAGAGACACAAAGAGACACAAAAAGACTACAACGAGACAAAAAATCACTCGAATCCGAGAATTCTATGTAAGATAGTCGACTCGGTGGTCACCCCCCCCCCCCCTGTCAAGATGCCTCACAAGAGATGTGTCAGCAGTTTTCATACTTTTTACAAACAGAGTCGAGCACATCAGGCAACAAATTACCCCACCACACCGTGTTTTACATGTCAGGAGGAATATTAGTTATTGTAGCAGCTTTAAACCTGTTTCTCTGTCCTTTTTAGCTGAAATCATTTCCTGTATGACATCAACCACGTGCAGTCTGGATTCTATAGCAACTACATTTCTTACAGAGGTTATTAATACAGTTGGTCCCAGTATTCTATGGATTATTAACAGCTCATTAGCAACAGGAACTGTTCCATCAACTCTTAAACATGCTGTGGTCCAACCTCTTTTAAAGAAACCTAATCTTGATTCCTCTGTTCTTAGACATTTTAGACCCATTTCTAAACTTCTGTTTTTATCTAAAGTTTTAGAGAAAGTGGTTTCAACCCAGCTTTTATCTTTCATGTGTCTTAATAACGTCTTGGAGAAGTTTCAGTCAGGTTTTAGAGCTTTACATAGCACAGAGACCGCCCTCCTCAAGGTATCAAGGATCTCCTTTTAGCAGCTCTATTTTAATTCTTTTAGACCTAAGAGCAGCCTTTGACACAGTAGACCATGCCGTTATAATCCACCGTCTTCAAACCTGGGCTGGCATCAAGGACACTGCACTTAGTTGGTTTAATTCTTACCTTCTAGATAGAACCCACTCGGTCACCAGAGGTAATTACTCATCCTCTACATCTCACATCACCTGCGGTGTACCCCAAGGTTCAATCTTAGGTCACATTTTATTTTCCATATCCATGCTCCCACTTAGTCTCATCATCCAACGTCATAATGTCTCTTTTCATTTCTACGCAGACGACACACAAATATACCTTCCCTTGAGACCTGATGACCCCAGAAGCCTAGCTGCTGTTTTAATATCTTAATGATAATCAACTGTTGGATGGCACAACATCTTCATCAACTCAACAACTCAGAATCAGAAATCATAATAGTTAGTACCCCAAACCCTATCACTCCCATTAAAGGGCCCTTGGCCCCCTGTCCGTTAACATAAAGTCCACTGTCAGAAACTTAGGAGTAGTTTTGATTCAGATTTAAGCTTCAAACCACAAATCACTAAAGTTGTCCAGTCCTGTTTACTTCAAATTAGAACCATCTCTAAAATCAAACCACTCCTTTCTCACCCTGAGCTGGAGAAAGTCCTTCATGCATTCATCTGTAGAAGACTGGACTACTGAAACTCCTCCTTCTCTCTGGCATCAACCAGAAGTCTCTCTCTCTCCTCCGACTAGTTCAGAAGGCAGCAGCTCTGCTTCTCTCTGGTTCTAACAGACGACATCACATCACCCTAATCCTGGCTTCTCTCCACTGGCTCCCTGTTGGTTTTAGAATTGATGTAAAGATTTTACTGATCACTTTTAAAGCACGTCTGGGTCTGGCCCCAACATATATCGAGGAAATGTTGACCCCCTATGATCCAGCTGGCAGCCTCAGATCATCAGGTGGGGGGGGCTTCTGTCTGTTCCAAAGTCGAGGATCAAACTGAAGGTGGCCGTGTTTTTGCCATCAGGACCCCTCGGCTTTGGAACGAGCTGCCTGAGGAGATGAGGCTCTCAGAATCACTAATCTCTTTTAAATAACTTCTTAAAACACATTTTTACAGACTTGCTTTCATGTCATGTTGTCTCTTTTCTGTTTTACTTTTATTTGTTGATTTTACTAAATTATCTAATTAATCTTTTTATTTCATTCATTTTATTTATTTCATTAATTTTATATTATTATAATGTTTATCACATTGACTGTCTCACTGAGCTTTCCGTCCTTTGGCCCACCTGCTTTCAGGGAACCAGGACGGTTTAAGTCGTGCTTTTAGTTTGTTACAGCAATCTACTCCACTGGAATCACTTATTTCACTGTAATAATGATTTTAAAATGTCACAACAGTGACAGGATTTACACTAACTGTCTGTTTACAAAAGAAGATGAAACCAAAATGAAAGCCACTCATGTTGATGATGAAAATAATGATTAATTGTGTATCGATATAAGAAACTCTGTGTGTTGTTTTATGTGTTTGCAGTCTGTCACTCTGTAAGATCACAGAGGAAGGCTGTTCTTCTCTGGTCTCAGCTCTGAAGTCAAACCCCTCCCATCTGAGAGAACTGGATCTGTGGGGAAACAACCTGAAGGGTTCAGACGTGAAGCTTCTGTGTGATCTTAAGAAGAGTCCACATTGTAGACTGGAGACTCTGGGGTCAGTAGAGGGTTGGAGTCAGTCCGTGCTGGTTTCAGCAGTATTGTACCAAACACAGATCCACAGGCTTCATGATTGAACGAGAGAGAGAGAGCAGTCAGCCAATCAGATGAGCAGAAGCTTGTTGTGATTGTGTGTTTGAGTCGATGTGTTGTTGTTCACGTCTACAGGAAGTGAAGCTTGTTAACAGCTGACGGCATCACCAGATGTTTAGAGACAGCGGTCCTCATTCATCAAACTATCAAACTATTGATCAGTTCATCTTTGTCACAGCTCTGAGATCAGTCTGACTGAAGCCTGCACA